GAAAGTAGATCACCTTGATGCCTTCAGTGTTGAAATCATGGAAGTCTGTGTGGCCAGGGGCATTGTCTAATATCAGAAGAACTTTAAAAAGCAGTCTCTTACTGGTAAGGTGCTTCCTGACTTCAAGGATAAAGTCTTGAAGGGACCAGCTCAGAAAAACAGTCTCATCGTCCAGGCCTTCACGTTATACAGCCAAAAGAATAGCAGCCGGTGTTTGTCTTTTCCATTCTAGGCTCAGAGGTTAGCAGCTTTATAGACAAATGCTGTCCTAATCATAAACCTGGCTGCATTTGCACAAAATAGCAGAGTTGGCCTATCTCTTCCTGCCCTAAATCCTGGTGCTTGCTTCTCTTTTTGCTTCTCTTCTCTTCTTTGTGACATTTATTTTTCAGAACAAGGCATTTTCATCTGCTTAAAAAATTTGTTCAGGCAGCAATCCTTTCTTAAAGATTTTCTTAATGGTTTCTGGGAGCTCATTTGCAGCTTCTCAATTGGCAGAATCTGCTCCTCCTGATATTTTGATTTTTTTTTTATGCCAAACTTTTCTAAAATTATCAAACTATCCTTGGCTGGTATTAAATTCTCCAGCTTTTGATATTTCACCTTTCTTTTGCTTTAAATTATTGTGTAATAACTGCTCATTCTCTAATCATATTAGTCTATAGGTATGCTTTTCTTATAGCAACCTGCCCCCATATAAGACCAGTATTTTCAATATGAGGTAAAAAGGTATTTCACAAAAGTATATGGTTTTTGTACCTGCTGGTGTAATTATAGCAATGCCTTCATTAATCTCTTGTTATTTTCATGGTTGTCCTAATTCTGGATTTGTTCATATTGAAATGGCAAGCAACCACAGCTGCAGACCTCAATCTATGGTACATAGCAAACAACTCAGATTTATCTTGCAATGTCATGACTTCTCTCTGCTTCTTGGCAGTACTTACAGCAACCCTAGTGGCACGTCTTATGGTTCTATGGTATTATCCAAAGTTTATGGTACTGAAAGAAACAAGATGAAAAATATGCAGGAAGTTCGAGAGATCATTTTACCCAGAAATTTAACATAGAGAGCAACTGAGCAACTGCTCATTTGAAGATGGTTAGTATCACATGGCATTATAAAAAAATGCAACACTTGAGCTCACCACAACAGCAACAGGGGGGTGGCTATGAAATTACTGCAGTAGTACAGTATGTGCTACAGTTAATATTATGCCATTGTAATTTAATGCTATATCATATATTTGAGACAGTCTCACTTCATCACCAGGCTGGACTGCAGTGGCACGATTTTGACTCACTGCAACCTCCATCTCCCAGTTCAAGCAATTCTCCTGCCCTCCTGCCTCAGCCTCCTAAGTAGCTGGGAGTACAGGTGTGCATCACCACACCTAGCTAATTTTTGTATTTTTAGTTTCACCAAACAGGGTTTCACCATGTTGGACAGGATGGTCTCCATCTCTTGACCCTTGTTATCTGTGTGCCTCGGCCTCCCACAGGGCTGGGATTACAGGTGTGCACTAGCACGCCTGGCCACTTAATACTATCTCTAGTTTATATAACTAGAAATACATGTTTTAAAGTTTCCTTGTAAAAAGCTTCATTTAAGAACTGAGTGCAAAGATGGTTCATTAGATCTGCCTCCAAGATACTGGATTGCTCTAATTCTTGCAAAATTGTACATTCCAAGGACTCCCTCATCCAATCACAACTTGTTCTGTGGCTAGCTGTGAGGGCAAACAGGTGAAATAAAGTATATGGTTTCTTTTGAAAGGCTTTGCATGGCTTAACACAACTTTTCTAGATTAGGATACAAGGGTGTATCAAAAGGAAGATAAATAAAAGTCAAGGAAATGTGCCAAGCTGCTTTTATATAGGAATTACATTGGGTCCCAACTGAAGTCCAAATACAAGGAAATAAAGTGTAGGCAACATGTGGAAATGACAACTGAAGGGAAGGTTTTCATTAAGTTCAAGCAAAGGGACAGTGTTCAAGAAAGACAGCAAATCAAATCAAAGATCAAGAGACCATGGGCTGAAAAAGCATGGGTTCCTGTTAGACTTGGTATGAAAAATAGCAATGATTTATCAGGTCTAGTGGTTAAGCATTCATTTTGTGCTCAGAACAGTGTTAGAAACTGTGGGGAAAATACAAAAATGGAAGAAAACGATCTTCCCTTTCCACCAAAAATAGAGGAAGAGAGAAATAAGTTTAGTTATGTCTTTAACTGGGAAAAGAACTAAAAAATGTGACCAGTGTTCGGGAAGAAGAGGTAAGTGTGGGTTGAGATGGCTCTGGAGACTTCAGGGAGCTGAAGACCAAAGCTGAGGCTTGCAACTAAATGTTGACAAGACAAAACTGCAATGTTAAAGAAGAGAAGGACAAGGATAAACAACTTTCCTACTTCAAGGGGCATTTCTGAGAAGAAGCAGGGGTAGCGACAAACTGCAATTCAGGGTACCCTCACCTTTCTAATTCTTCCTAACATTTGTCATCACATGCCACATTGTGAAAATACAGATTAAGGAATCTCAAAGTTAATAAGAAAAAGGATGTCATAAAGCAGCAACAGTCACTCTAAGTGGTGTGAGGGACCTGAAAGAGCCTTTCAGGATTGGCAGCATGGGAGATAAGAGGACACTTCGAAGATTTCAGCCCTAACAAGGCAATGCCAGGGAGGCACATGCTATTCCCATAAGAGCGGGCATTCCCTTAGCTATAAGAGCAATGTTGTTATCACACATTACACATCATGCAGCCTTTAGAAAACTCCACTCTACACTTTAGAGAATGAAAGTTTAGAAAGTAAGCAATATATTAATATTATGGTGAAAATAGTTTTGACCTCCCAGATTCCCTGAGTTCTGAGTCTCCCAGAGGTCCAAGATCACACTGTGAAAAATGTTTTAATCTCAATTCTCCGCTTTTTCCAAGACCAGAGAGTGATGCATGCAACGAATGACCATCACAATCTGGTTCTAAGTTCCTTTTACTGCTTCAACTCCCACAATGTCTATAAAGTATTCCCAAACGTGCCACACCAAAATCCTCTCTCCAAAAATATGCTGTGAGTGCTCAAGCTTCTTTGCAGGTGCTCATACTGTATCTTTGTCTAGAATTACTCCCTCCTCAGAGATTATAGCTTTCAGGGCTCTGCTGAAATGTGACCAACACTGGCCCCAGGCAGAATCGATCACTCTCCATAAAGAGCACCTTGCTTTTACCTCTACTTCGTTTACTACATTCTACAGTTTCCTTGTTAGTAATGTGTCTCCCTTCCCTTCTTTCATTCCACAATCCTGTAATGAGCACCTGTCCAGCAATCGTCAGCACTATGGGTAGGATCCAGATTTTCCCTTAAAGAGCTACTGGGGGGAAGAAACTGTAGTGTATTAATCTCTAATTCTTCATTCTTTACACCCGACACTTGTACCAAACGGTTTTGCTTTGTCTAATTATCGCAAAATGATAAGTTATCAGTGGCTGATGGGAATGTGAGTGATATTTTCTTTGTACTTTTTTGCAATACATTTTTATAATGTAACATATACAATGTTCATATTTCTATACCTTAGCTAATAGGAAATGCTGATGTGATACACAGCTCTGTGCTTTACATACATATCAATACTTATTCACAGCAAGTTGAGGTGCAAATACTCAATTATATAGTGATACATCCTATTTCATATACCATATGTACATTGTTCTATTGTTGCCTATAAGTTGCATGTATGTGAGTTACCTTGGCTTTGTCTTTATGCCCCAAATAAATCCAGATCTCCTTTGTCTTATTTCCTGAATTTCTCGTGGACTATGGCTCATCTTATGGCCAGACAACATAGGAGCTTAACATCTACACAAATTTAGCATTTTAACTTTGCAGATCTCAATTAGTAGAATGCTCTCTTGGAAACAAAGACATCTCTCAGTGGCCACCAGGGAGTCAAATTAACTGGTTACCTTCATAAAGTTCAGTAAAACATTTAGCAGGAAATGTTTTCCCACAGATGGAATTCAAAATGAGTTGCTTTCTAAAGGATTTTATCTCCTAGAATAACCAGAAAACAGTTTTTTAAATAGTGGCGTGACACACTACTCATCACTAACAAAGGGCTTTCCACCCCTTGCACAGAATCTCAACTACTCATTTCTATGTGGATGCAGAAGCTTCTGCAGAAGGGTGAGGAATAAATTGAGGTACTGTTTAATTGGCTGCAAGCTGGAAACTTGCTTCTGCTTAGTTCCTGCTGTGCTGTTACCATCAGGCCTGAGGGGATCACTGAAGCAGGCTAACCTCTGAAGTTCCTTGCTCCCTTCAAGACACCCACAGGCTGCCCCGCACTGAGCTCACTGGCTTCACTGGCTGGGCCACCCGTCCTCTAAGAAGCGCTGTGGTCTGTGCAGTATCTCTGCTCCAGGGGAGCCCTGCTTCATTGAGATGCAGGCAGTGGTCCCCTAAGCCAAGGCTGCAGAGCGTCAATAAAGTAGTGGGGAGACAAACACTCCTGCTGCATACCAAGTGGCACCACGTTTAACTGAATCATTTTATTATGAATACATTCCGGGCTGCCACTGTGAGCCACTGGTGTAAAATATGCTGGCAAAATGGATCTCTGCTAATTATGTTTCATGCATATTTCAGAACTTTCCACAGGGATACAGGAAGATGGTCTTCATAAAAGGAAATTTTACAACCAGGTTCACTTGCATTTGGCTCAAGACTAGCGGAAAACAAAGATATCTTCAATTATATTAAAGGTTGTTTTAGCTGGAATGCTGTAATTTGCTATAATTCTATGACGGCTCCTGTGGTCGCTGGCTGAAAAGAAAATCGCTCAAGTCCACCTGAAAATATGCTATTAAATCATTTCTTCCCATATTTGCCTTTACTATATTTGTCTTCCATTTTACCTAAAACTAAACTAAGTAAATGAGCCTCTGGACTTGGAAATATATTAGAGTTGAAAAGAAAAAAAAAGCAAAGCATCATTACCTGCTTCAAGATAAAGTTGTAAAGAACACAAGTGACTGCTTTCTCATGACTTTTCACCCTCTTGCTGGCTTCACTTTTCATTGCCAACAATGCCAGCTGGTTATTAAACGAGATGAAAAGGCGTCCATGGGCTTCATGAAAGCCAAGGAGACAGCTGAACTCCTGACTTTTGGGGAAAGAACAAGCTATCCTCTGGATGGACAGCTGGTGTTGAATATCCCAGAGTCTCAAAACCTGGATGAAAAGTGATAAAATCGTATCAGTATGTCAGAGAGAATTCCAATTTTTTAGCCAGTTTTTTTCTAGCTCACCCTCAATACCAGGCAGCGAGTTGTTTTCTCCACAGTGCTGTAATCGGTTCTCTGTTCTCTCATAGCACCTATTACTTTGTATTCAATCACCCGTGTATCTCCTAAACTGTCAGTTCCTCTAGGAGAGGGGTTGGGTTCTATTTCAGTCCCTGGTATAAATCTTGTCATTGAGTAAATGTTTGTGGTAGACAGACTGATAGTTCCCCAAAGATGTCCGTGTCCCAATCCCTAAAACCTGTGAATATGTTATCTTAGGTGGCAAAAGAGATTCTGAAGATATGACTAAATTCAGGACTTGGAGATGGTGAGATTTTCCTGGATTATTGGATGAGACCAATCATAAGGGTCTTTCAATGTGAAAGAGGGAGGCAGAAAAATGAGAGTGATGCAATATGAGGACTTGTCCTAGTGTTGCTGGCTTTGGAGAGGGCCATGATCCAAGGAAACTAGAAAAGACAAGGGGGGATGGATTCTCCCCTAGAGCGTTAGAAAGGGTGAGACTCATGTTGAATTCTAACCTACAGAATGCAAAACAAATGTAAATTGTATCAAGCTACTAAGTTTTTTGTTCGTTTATTGTACTAGCAATAGAAAACTAGTACAATTCTCTCTATATATATATACATGTGTGTATACATATATGTAGATGTTTGTGTAGATATGTTTATATATACACATGTGTATAGAGGCATGCATATATGTATGTGTATATGTATTTTTGGTAAAATAGAAGTGGCATTAAAGAGGTCAAGTTCATGTAATCAGATATCAAGTTCCTATTCAAACACCTTCAAGATACATAAATGATATGCATTAACCAATGGCTAGTAGAAGACAAATGTGAATCCTCGCTGAAGAAATAGGCTGCTTTAGATTCAACAGACATTAAAACATCATTTTTCCTTTTCTATTTTCTCATGGCTCCATTTCAAAGAAGGTGAGTCACATTACATGTCCCAGGGAGAAAACAAAGATCAGCTTTGCAGGTGCAAGTGCTGGGGCTATCAGTAGTGGTACAGAATTAACAGAGGCTACTGAGGGAGGGAGTGAAACACCTCTCCAAAAGCAGGTAGCAAGCAAGTTATCAAGACCATGTTCGCTTTAAAAAAGAAAAAAAAAGTCTGTTGTAAGAAATCAAAAAGCACCACAGAGCTTTTATCTTAACCATATCTCTGTAACCTAGGGTCAGATTTTGTGTTCTAATCCCAGTTCTGTTCCTTACTAACAGTATTTTCCTTACTTGTTAGTAAGGAACCTCCAGTAAGTGTTTTTTCCCCCTGAGTTTTTAAAGTATTGTCTACCTTGCTTAATGCTATGAATATTAAATGAGTCTATGTCAAGCATTTAACATGATGACCAGCCTGTAATGTGTTCAGTGAATGTTACTTGTTATTACCTCTATTTTTTTATTGTATAAATATTAGAACCTAAAAGCAGAAAATGTTTCAAGTAAACTAGTCTATCCAACATGAGAATTATTTCTCAATTATCTATAGAAGATAGTTTCTGTTTAAATGAGTGCGTATTACCTCATAAGACAGGCAATCTTAGTTATTAACCTATTTTAAATAATATACTTTTTGAAAACATCTATTAAATGATGGTTCTGTCCAAACTTATCAAATGCATTTATCCATATATACATAAAATTTTACGTATAATTGGTACATAGACACACCTCACAAACCTAACACATCCTAGGAATCTGCAAGACAGGAATTCCTACAGTAATTATTAAATATGTTCAGACAAAGATGTCATCTTCTGCCTTTTGATTCTATCCTACCCTCTTCTCACACCTGCATAAGCTTCCTCTTACCCCTCTTCTCCAGGTTAAATGATGCCAATTTCTTCAACCATTTTAATATCAGTTTTCAGATCTCACTGCCAGCTACCATGTGGCCTCTTTATTCTCTCAATGTCTACGTTTCCACTTTCTAGGGGAGGATAGTCATCCAGACCTTGTTTATTTTTAAAACCATAGTAAGATGTGTCCACTGCATAAAGTCCAATAGCACCAGAAGGCTTCTAACTAAACCCACATATTCTACCCCAAGTCCTAATCCTTAGAGATGACCTTTTTTTCACTCTTTTTGGGGGTTATGATTTTCTCCATAATGTAACAATATCATTGTGCACGTATGTATGTATATATGTATGTAGTACACACACATGTTATATAATCATAGCTACTGACTCAAAAATTACTTTTTTCTCCCTTTCTCCTCCCATTTCTCCCAAGTTAGCATTTTAATTTTTTTAGTACTATTGGTTTTTATAATTTTAAGTGTTTATGTGTTAATTATTGACCCATTAATTTAACACTATCTCTAAGCACCTAAAAATCTTTAAAGATTTGCTTTAAGCAAGTCACCCAGAATTGAGCTTATGAAGTATTTCCAGTGTGTTCCAATCATTACAGGTGCTATTTCTTTAAAGCAGCCTATTTTTGCATTAGCTGATTAAGCTTCTCCATCATGCTTTTCACTTGCCTTGATGTCTTAATTGAGCAAAATTCTAGATATTCCCATGAACAAATAACCATACCAGATGTCTACTATCCTGTTTCCAAAGATATATTTTTAATTAAGACTAATTTTTTTTCTATTTTTGAGTTTCAAGTGACAGTATTTTGAATCCTAGTTTAATTATATTGACGATTCCTCTCTGATTTCTCCACATACCCCATAGGACATTGATGTGGCTCGGCTTTTTGCCATTGTATCACCACCCAAATTTCATCTTGAATTGTAATTCACAGGTGTGGAGGGAGAAACCTGGTAGGAGGTGATTGGATCATAGCGGTGACTTTTTCCCATGCTGTTCTCATGATAGTGAGTTTTTATGAGATCTAATGGTTTTGTAAGCATCTGGCATTTCCCCTGCTTGCACCTCTCTCCTGCTGCTATGTGAAGAAGGTCCCTGATTCCCCTTCACTTTCTGCCATAGTTGTATGTTCCTGAGGCCTCCTTAGCTGTGCAGAACTGTGAGTCAATTCCTCACAGTTCTTTTTAAGTTCCTTTGTAAATTACACAGTCTGGGGTAATTTTTTATAGCAGTGTTAAAATGGGCTAATACAGCATTCAATTAATATTTTTGGATTAAAGATGCTGGCTCACTATATCTATACCCAGATCATTGATGAAAAGATCACACAGGATAGGCCCAAGAATACAACACTCCCACGGAAAAATCCGTCTCACTTCTACATATTTATTTACCTAAGCGAAGATCTCAGAATACACAGTGAAATTTTATGGAACTTTTTCAAATATCTTGCAGAAATAATTGTTTTTAGCATAGGGTAATATCTCCATTTACTCTAACGACCAGCCCTTGTAACAAGCTTGAACTAACCTAGTCTGTCTTTACTTGGTAAATCACGTCGCCAATCCCTCTAACCCAAGAATTTAGATTTGGGGAAAACTGGGTTTCCTTGGCAAGGATTTTTGTTAAATAACCCATTCTGGTTTTTAAGCATCACTAAAAATTTTTTATTTAAAACATTCTGGCAGCTCTCCAGGAAATGTTTATCTTAAAAATATAAATTGTGTTCTAAATGTAAATAGAATTGATAAGCTCTTATTTTGAATGTTATAAATTTATATACATCTAGATCACTCAAATACTTATATTACTAATGATAGTAATGTCTTCATTCAAAATCCTGTCTTGTTTAATATTGACTCCTTCTAAGAAATAGAAACTAACTTCATTTCAGAATAATATAGGATATAATTGAGTACACGTTGACAATAACTCCACAGTATTGAACTATAATTTCTCCAGAATCATTTTCCATTGTGTTAAGTAACTTATATTGGATCTGCTATTTCACCAACATTTAGTCACATAAATTATATGATAAATTAAAAACAGGCAAGCTATAACCTGTCTAGTCTACAACAGATTACTTCTTGTTAGCAATTAAAACTAGAAATATTATTACTAATATGTATATTCATTAATTTTTCATATTTACTGTTCTCTCTGGGGAATCCTAAACACTTTCAATGATCCCACTAAGTTCTCCTTCCATCTTTAATTCTCTAATTTTGCCTTCTGCTGAGAATTGAGCAACAGCATTGAAGTACAGCCATTAAGGCATAAAATGGGTGATAGTATGTGATCTCCCATATGCTCATAATTTTCCCTTCTAGTGGTTTTTAAACTTGACTTTAGAAACACCTATGATGATCTCAAAATCTCCTATGCTTTGGCTCTTTCCCAGACCAATTAAATCAGAATCTCTGAAGAGGGGGCTTGGACATTAGTGTTTTTTCAAATTTTTCCCTGGTATTTCCTTTGTATATACCTAACTTCTCTGTTTTGTTTGAAGGTCAATGATAATCTCCCTGAAAAATCTCTCTCTCAGATTAATTTAGTAATATCACATAGCATCGCTTTAAACCAGATAATTGTATTCCCCTTCTTTTTAAATCACTGTATAACCTTTTAATCATAAAAATCCTCAAATTCAGTTTTATTAATCAAGTCCTTTGACAAAAATGTCACTTAAATATCTAGTTATTTGAGAATCCTGTGTTCTCATCTTTTATAGTGAAGTTGATTTCTGGAATAGAATTAAGCCACATCTCAGAAAGGAGTATATTTAATTTCAATTTTCATTTCAGATATCCTAGAGAGGTTTTTTTATTCCAAGAAGAAGAAAAAATAGATTGACAAACTTTTAAGCTTAAAAATTACAATAGAATAATTTTAATTGTTTATATCATCCACAAAGTTTTATTGAAATTATGCTGTATCTATTTACATGATTATGTCTGAGAACTTGTGACATCTGTCCAAACTCAGACTAAGTCAAGTCCATGAGAGGGCACATTTGGGTGCTCTGTATTTTTGTCTTCATTTTTATATTAGCAAGAATAAGCACCTAAGCTTATTTTATTTTAAGGCAAATTT